GGAACGGTTTGAAAAAACAGGATTGAAGAAAAGCCAGCCATGGGTCCTGACCTCACTGAGCTTCCTGTCTGGCAGAGGAAGCAGACCATGGTCAAGTGCACAGTTACACAGAGCTGTAAATGCAGTGAAGGAAAAGACCAGATGCGGAGATGAAGACTATTCACAGTGGATGTGGCAGTCTCTGATATGATGTTTGACCTGGGACCAAGGCCGAGGACGACCCAACCAAGTGAAGAATTGGGAGGAAGACTATTCCAGGCAGAGGGAACAGCATGTGTAAAAGTGAAGAGCTTGGAGGGGTTGGGAAGCTCAGGGTGGAGTGAGAGGGGCAGTATTTACTGGTGGGTGGGCAGGAGCCAGTTCAATCCAGTGTCTCAGGCCAACCTAAAGAACTTGGATCTTACCCACTGTGTAGGCAGGAGCGATGCTTGGGCTTTATTAGAGAATGACACAATCCATTTACATTTTTAAAAACTTGTGCTGTCTCCTGTGTATATGCTGAATTAGAGGACGGAGTGGAAGTGGCCACTTAGGAAGCTGTTCCCTACTGGACAAAACATAACAGAAAGGAAGAAATCACTGATTCTAAGAGATAAACCAAGCCCTTGCCTAAGGTTGTAACTGTCTGTGCCCAGTAGGCATGATTCCTGTCCCTTTCCACCACCCAAGGACAAAATAAAACTGTTCCAGTGCAGTAGAACTCGGGAAGCCCAGCTCTATGGTGTTCAGGAGAGCAACAGGACTAGAATGATCCGGAACTTTTTTTCCTTGTGTTGGCTGAAACTTAATTCAGAAAACAGTTAACAATACTGTTAAAATACCAAATAGTAAAGCACAAGTTACAAATATTGGGGCCAGGAAGAGGAGAAAATATGAATGTACTTATCACAGGAAGCAGAAACATGTAGGTGGTTGAGCTAGATTCTTTGTTTCTTAACTATTTGGGGGTAGAAAGATGATACTCAGATTATGGATCACAATATTTTTTTTTTTATCCCCTGCCAACCCTTCTCAGGTCAGCTGTAATTCCTGTTTCATCCTTCCTAGTCTGAGATATCAAAACAGCAGAACATCAAGAAACAATATCAAAAAAGCCCCTCAAAATGTCTCATTAGTTTTGTCAGCAAGTTAATTTATGGACTAAAAGGAGATAGTAGGGAAGAAAGGTTACAAATCTGTTGAACATTTACCAGTATGTCATTTATTGGGCAACTCTCTGTGCCAGGCACCACGCCAGCCTGCTTTGCCCTTCTGCATTTGCAGTGGAGCCCAGCAAACAGGCTGTCAGAGGCTGGTGTGAATTGCACTTTGATTGCCCATGTGCCACTCTCCTAGCGTGGAGGGGGGAGCCTCATATAGACCTGCACCCAAAGAAAATGATGTTCAGACTGAAACCTGAAGGACAATGTGGATAAGCCAGGGGAGAGTGGTGCCTTTCAGGAATCTGGAAGTAGTCCCATAAGGTGAAGGTTTATTTCTGTACATTTCACTTTGAAGCTGTTTCATTGACCCCAGGGTTTCCACAATGTATCTTTTGGTATGTTTAAGTAAAACACTGTAGCCTTTGAGTATCTTTTAAGTAAAAGTAAGCTCATCATGTTAAATTAACAGCTCCATCATCACCATTCTTTACCTATTATGCCCAAATCTGGGGTAGTAATTCCAAGGCCTATAGAATTTGCGACATCAACTGAAAAAAAATTGAAAAGACGAAACTGGAAGGAAGAAGAGTGGGGTGGTTGTCGGTGATGTTCATCCCAAATGAGTATGATTTCATGTGTAGTCTGAGCCATAATATACAAACTCTCTGTGTGTCAGTTTGTTCATCTGGAAAATGGGGCTAAAAAGGTTAGTTCTTCCAGAAAAGGTACAAGAATAACTCCTGGCATATGGGAAAGCAGACATCTCCTTTTATAGGAAAGACCTGGAATAATCTGCTGTAGTCATTCCGGCACCATTTCCTGATGAGATTAAAGCACGTGGCAGCCTGGGTTGATTCTAGCCTGTGGAGAGGCAGGTAGAACAGCAACCTCAGATGGGTAGGAAAACATGTAATTTTGGAGACAGCCCAAGTTCAATATGCAGACACAGTAATTGGCAAGAGGAGACAAAGTCAAAGTGAAGGTTCTGGTTGGGGGTCTCTGGGACAGTAAGCTTCCCACCACTTAGTCCAGGACTATTTTCCACCGAGATTCACTGTGGAATTTATTTTCACTAGAACATATGGATTTTAACATGTTTATTTGTTTCCCAGATTATTCCAGAAAAAGGTTAAGGCAGAAAAAGTACCCTCTGGGTGCTGGTGATTCTTCCCACACACTCTCTAGCCCCACGATTTTTAACCATTTTCATCTCATGGCTCACATAAACTAATTACTAAAATTCTGTGGCAAACCAAAAAATATGTTTTCTGCCCATCTGACAAAAAAAATAGGTATAATTTTGATTCATTCACACCAGTGGCTATTGTGCTGGCTGGTCATTTTTTTATCTGACAACCTAAGGGAAAAGAGGTCAGTACCCCTGACTAAACAGAAGCAGTCAGATACTGCATGTTTTAAAACTTCTTGCAGCACACCGGTTGAAAATCTCTGCTCCAGGCTGTTCCGGTTGGTGTAGTGCATTTAGACAGCCCACTCAGGAGCCCCCAGAGCCAGCCCAGCTGCGGTGGAGGGAGGGGAAGGTTAGCAGGGAGGCAATGTGTGACTTAGCCTGGGGACTGCAGGCAGCAACAAGCAATATGAGTTCCACAAACCCTCTGCTAACCTCAGCTGGTCCCCTGGACGTGCAGGTGACAGGACAACAGGTGGCCATGGAGAGCAGTACTTGAGTGCTGGTCTCTACTTCCCTCGGGGTGAAATGAATCATACGCTAAAAATCCTTGAAAAGATAAGACGATTTCATGTTCCTCATGCTTCCATCTCTCCCATTTGCCTGCTCTTCCTGCCAGCCCTTCACTGTGACTGTGTACAGTGTGGGCAAGGAAAGAGAAAGGGCTCAGCCATTGTGTGAAAAGGACAGGGCCAACAGTTGTGGTTTAGGGCAAAAATGAGGAAGTTATTAAATGCCACAAAGGTTTTGTGAGTGCTCAGGCCTGGTCTTTGTTTTCCTCCAGCAGATGTTAGGGTCTAGAGGAGAGCTGGAAAGGAATGCTTACTGTCAGAAGGACGATAACAATGGAAGGTCTTGGGTGTGCTCTTTGCATTCATGTAATCTTTGCATTCATGCATGTGATGGCGGAATGCCTCTGAATCTCCTTTCTGCCACAGCTTGAGCCAGATGGCCATTGGGGTTGGTGCTTCTGAGGGTTCTATGAGGAATCCTAAGTAACAACCACGAGATGAATTCTGCAAAAAGGCTTTGACAAGTTAACTCTTCAGCCAAGGCTCTTCTCGCTATTATTTCCAGCATAAATTAAAGCCTTTTTACATAACATCTTAGTTGAAAGGAGCTCTAAAATGAAGATACTGTTGTAAGACAGTGTACAAACCATGTATAGCCAGTATGCTAGACAACTAATTAATTAATTGACACTATCTGAAAACTTTATAGCAAATCTACAAGATAGGTATACGAGTGGCTAATTTGCTGAGTGCTGAATATGTGCCAGGCTCTATTCTAAGGGCTTTACCTGGATCATTTGAAGCTTCTCAACAATCTTTTACACCCATTTCAGAGACGAGACAACTGAGGCACAAAGAGGACAAAGTCACGGACCTGGTCGGTGGGTAGTGCCAGGACTGTAGCTCAGACAGGCTGACTGACCCCAGAGCCAGGTTCCTGACCATAGTGCACTCTGCCTCTTAACTGCATGTTGCACATGAGGAGTCTGAGGCTCAGAGTGCTCTTGCCCAATGTCATTCAGTTCATAAGTGAAAGAACCTCAACCAGGTCTTCAGACTTCAAGTTTAGGTATATAATGAAACTATACAAAGCCAGGCGTTCTAAATTTGGTGAGAAAAGTAATAGACAGAAGGAGGTGGGTGGTAGTGCTTAAATATAATCAAGGTAAAGATGACACTTTAGCCTAGAAATGGAAACTCCCTGGTCATCTCCTTCCGTATCCTGAAATGACAATAAATCAGTACCATTCAATAATCCCCCCTCCCTTAGCAAGGCCTGTGCAGAGGAGAAACAGCATGTGTTTGCACCTTCTCAGATTCCTGCATGTGAGAGGCAAACCAGTCAGCTCTTAGAGGCTTAGAGACATCTGCATATTGAAAGCACTGTTGGCACCCAGCAAAGTGGAATGTGGCAAACCCATCTCAGAGCCCGGTGCAGGGGGCCGTCAGGGCATTTGGAAATTCCACAGCCAAGACTCTCCTAAGGAGAAGAAATATGCCTGTTTCCATGGCAGGATGCATTGGCCACATGGGGCTTGACATTTTCTTCCAACTCCCTGGGAGTGTGGAGGAAACGAGTTATGGGGATGGAATTAGGGACTGGGGTGGGAGGGTGGATTTAAGTGGACACACGGAAGGCTTGCCTGCAGTGTGGTGGAATCCAAACAATCTGAAATAGCTGGCCCTCAAGAGCTGGCATGTGCTCTGAGCTGCCACCCACTGACCAGAGCAAGGGCTGCTCCACTGGCTGAGCACTGTCCTCAGAAGTGAGGCCATGGGCACTTGGTCTCAGGGAGCCACCTCGTCCAACAGTTTGCTTCATCGAGTCCTGTTTTACACTTACCCAAAGATGCTGAATTATAGGGGAGTTCAGCCTCATAACAGTGTGTCTATCTTCCCCTTGTTTGGAAAATCTGATATTCTAAGATTGAAAGTACACTTCATTGCTTCGCAGAAATGTAGATAGGAAAGGATGAGGACCCTCAGTAGCAGAGTTGCTTTCTTTTGGCCAGTGAACTTAAGTGGGTGCAGGCTGAGAATGTTGCTCTGACTCCAGGGTTAATTTTCAGGCATGTTTCTTGGTAGATTTCATTTGTGCCCCTGTCCACGAACACCATCATGTTCAACTTCCTGTTTTCCTTTTTTCCTTTTTGCCAGAGATGCCTGCGCAGACCCGGGCCCTGCAGATACTGACACCTCTGACTCCTTCAGCTCAGAGCACCGCACCTCTGACCCCCAGCACAGGAAAGCGGCGTGGTCAGGAGGAGCTAAGCTTCGGCTGAAGCACAGGTAGGAGGCGTGGAGATCTGTACCAAGTGGTTCAGGGAACGGACTTGGCTGCTGGAAGAGGGAACTGGGGGCGAGAATGGTAAAGATAGGGCTAGTGAGAGAGGGAAGGAGGGGCCAAACAAGGGGGCTAGAAGCTCTGAGTTCTGAAGGGTAACATCTTAATGGCAGTTTTCAAATTTATGTTCTGAAGAACCCAGAAGTTCCTGGGAGGTAATCTGGCGGTCCCTCAAATTATTTGATTCAACTTTCTTTTTAAAAATATATCCATAACTGTTTCTAAAACTATAATTAAAACACCCAAAGTAACATACCAATGTCTTATACTTTGGAAATGACAGATGTGTCAAATTGTGCAGCAAGATTAATTCATCTTTGAGCTGATACTCATTTAAAACTTTTCTTGCTTCTAAATGAAGAATGTCCTGAGATTACTAAATTAGCCTAATAAAAATTTACAGCTACTTATCTGTGCTTCTCTGTGCTAGATGGTATGCCAAGACTTTGCGTATCACATCACATTCTCACACCAGCCCTGGGAGATTTGTACTAGGATTCTACTAGCAGGTGGTGGATTCAAATTCAGCCAATTTGACCAAGCTCATAGCCACTATACTCTATGGCTTCAACAGTCAGCATTACAGAACCTACTTCAAAGGAAATCCATGGAGATTCAATGAGATAAGATATTCAAAGCACTTACAAAACAGCCCACTCACAGGAAATGAGAACTTAATGGTAGATACTGGGTTGGCCAGAAAGTCCATTTAGTTTTTTCTGTAAAATACAAGGCATGTTTTTCATTTTCTCCAATAACTTTGTTGATTTGGATATTTTGAGTATGTTGACTATTCCCCATGTGGTATAACACTGATTATTCTCGGTTAATGTCTGGTGGGTTTGATCACTATCAACTTCAACTGGTCTCCCTGACTATGGAGCACTGCCCAGGGAGAAATCTCCAGCATGAAACTCTATGAACCACTTTGGATACGTTCGATCAGTCATAGCACCTTCTCCATACGGCACATGTCTCTTTTGTGTTTCAGTTGTGCTTTTACCTTTCTTGAAATAATAAAGCATAATATGCCCAAAATTTTACATATTTTCTTCCATCATCAACATTAAAATGGATACACCAAAATTCACCAATTTGGTAAGTTTTTTTTTAAACTTATGGCATGCTGACATGACAGCTGTTACAATACAATCTAACAAAATTGTTTCAAATGATGTTAAAGGCAACAAAGTGCTGCTATACTAGAGCCATCATACAGAAAAAAACAAACGAACTTTTTGGCCAGCCCAGTAAAGTACATATTTGGTGGTGGTGCAATGCTGTGGTTATTGTCCCATCACCATTCTCACCACTCTCATGGAAGTCTGTGCCCAGCATGAAGGGCAGTGTGACATAGTGAGTTAGATGTGGCCCGTGGCATCAGACAACCTGGAGTTCACAGCTCTCATGGTTTCCCATTTATAAAAATGAGTTTGATGACCAAACACTGGGTTACCGAAAGGACTGAAGGTGCTAGCACACACAAAGCACTCGTGGCGGTGCCCAGCACATCATAGGCACTCAACAAGAGTTGCTATTGATACCGATTTCCCTGACTGCAGTTGGGGGATTCCTTCACGTGGACATGGAAATTTGCATTACAAACATCATAAATGTTGTGTTTAATCGTCATGATTTCTTCGTCTCCTCTAACCTGTTACCTCCTTAGTCTTTCCTTGCCTTTCACGACCTTGACACTTTTGAAGGGTGTGAGCCAGTTATCTTGCAGAATGCCTTGTTTGGGTTTGGCTGATACTGTCCCGTGATTAGATTGAGGTTATGCATTTTTGGCAAGAATACCACAGGAGTGATATGTCCTTGCAGGGATTACCCAATGCCGATGTTTTATTGCTGGTGATATTAACCTTGACTACTTGGTTAAGGTAAAGCCTGCCAGGTTTCTCCATTATAAAATTACTTTTTGTCTCTTTGTAGTTTATAAGTATCTTTGGAGATATAACTTGGAGGCTATGCAAATATCCTGTTTCTCTTCACACTTTCTCCCACATGTAGTGTCCACCAGCAGATATTGTCTGCCACAATTACTACTGTAACACTGTAAACATGATTCTGTGTTTCCTGCTACATTTATTCAATGGAATTCTTCTCTAAGGAAGAGCTGTCTCTTACCCCACTCATTTGCTTATTCAACTGTTTAGATCAGTAAGGATTCCTTCATATGTCAGTCGTATTTTGCGGGTTATAATCCAATGCTACTGTTTCTTACTTTAGTGCTCACATTGCTCCAGATCTGTTCACTGGGAGCTCTGTTGAGCTGGCTTTGGTCTAAACCCTGGTTTGAAATTTGGAAAGGGGTGAGATGCTGATGTCTAGTTCTTCCATATACAGAGAGCAGACACGATGGGCTTATCATCTTCCTAGGAGTTTAATGAGTGTTTTGGAGGGGGGGTTAGTGGGCACTGAGCAAGTCTGGTTTGTCATGGAAACCTATACAGTGACCTTGGATTTAAAAGTGCTTGGGTTGCCTCATGAGCCAATTCCTAGTCCAATGGGCCACAGGTGTACATAGCTCCCTTTTCATGAAAAGATATCCAGGAAGGATTTCTCACTTAAAAGAGCAAAGGAAAAGCCTCCCTTCCCGCAGATATATACAGGGACTAGCCAAACAACTGAGTTCAAGACAGACTCTTAGTAGCCCAGGGCTTACTATTCTCACACATCTAGACTCATTCATCCTTTCCTGCTTGGTTCCCCAATTCTCTTGGGAGCCAAGAGAATCTAACCACATCTAACTTGGTTGGAACCCTATTATCTAACTAATCTTGGCAGAAATGTCTCCCTAAAAAAATCTGTGAAGCCTTAGGCTAGGGTAGTTCAATGAGTTGGTGAAGGAAACAAAATGTTCTTGCTTAAAACTCCAGACTTTCCGAGCCAGTGCTTTCCTCCATGAACATCTCATTCCTTCCCCACCTTCCACCACCGGTCACCACCGTCCTTCTAACAATGATCTCATCTAATTACCAAGCATTTACCCATATATGGTGATGTGTTTTGTGCTCTGTAAAGTAAATAAAGATGGGTAGGAGAAAGCTCAGGGCTTGACTCCTAATTAATTCATTTGCAGTTGAGCAGCAAGGTTGGTTAGTTCAGCTGGCACTTTGCACTTCCCTTGGCAATGAGTCCTGTCCCTGTGATGCTGACGAAGTGTTCTCAGGACAGTGTGCTTTAGGAGGTTTTGGTGGATGTTGACAGAGAACCGACCCCTGCTTCATTGCCTCCCAAACTGGGCAGCTTAAAGCAATTAACACACTTTTGCAGACAGTGGCATTTTTGCATGTGAAGGAGGGTGTGGGTTTAGCGGGGAAGATCATTCAAGGAAACTTCCTGATTTCAGTTTGGTGCATTTTTATCAGCAGGTGATTTTCCTTGCTTTCCTCCTCTTCCCACAGGATAGCATTCTGGCATTTCTAAGCTGCGTGCTGTTATTCCTTGGATGCTGGTGCTTCTCAGGAAAAATTACTGGGAAGAGAGTCACCTTCTCTCTTCCCTTTTCTAGAGCAGGAATTGAACTTTAATTGGCAAGTTGACAGAGGTGACTGGGAATCAGTGTCCCTCCCACCTGCACTAGGCTTAGCAAGTTCAGGGTGGTTCAGGCTGTCTGCCTAGAGGCACATGGAATGGTCTGGAAGGCTCTGCAACCCTGGGAGGAACAGAAAGAGCAGTAGCAGAAATAATGGCTTTTTACCCCACTCCTGGCTGTGACATTCAGTTGGCCAGGGGATTGTTATCTAGGATGTTTCTGTTTACCACAAGGTAAGTCCAAGGTTATGTTAGAATGAGGTTTAGAATCTTTCACTGCAAGATTCTCAACTGACAAGCCTTTCACAGGTGTCTGTTGGATATTGTGCTATGTCTGTTCACAAAGAAAAAAACCAACCACATGTGAAGTTTAAGCCCATTTCTCTAAATTGTCATGAACATTGTTATTTGAGTACCTCATGTAAGTCAGTATACTAGTAGTACCTCTGGGAGGGAGTTTTCAGTCATTCTCCCTGCCAGGTGCTGTCCTGTCGCAGTATTTTTTATGATGTGTGTATTTAGATTGGCTTCTTAGCTCATGCAGATAAGCAACCGCTTTGTGTTGTGTACTCCATGGTTTTGCTTCCCCCTTCCCTGGGGAATTTCAGAGCATTTCCTCCTGTTTCTCACAGGGAAAGCATCCTTACCCTATGTAGGAGCAGCCAAGTTCCCTGTTCTCATTGACAACATTTGTATAAAGAAACGGAACCTGTGAATATATTCTCAATTATAAAGGAAAGGTACAAGCCCTGGCTGGCGTAGCTCAGTGGATTGAGCGCAGACTGGGAACCAAAGTGTCCCAGGTTCGATTCCCAGCCAGGGTACATGCCTGGGTTGCAGGTCATAACCCCCAGCAACCGCACATTGATGTTTCTCTCTCTCTCTGTCTATCTCCCTCCCTTCCCTTCTAAAAATAAACAAATAAAATCTTAAAAAAAAAGAAGCTTCAGATACTGGAAGGATAAAAGAGAGGTCTCCAAACTTAAAAAAAAAAAAAAAGGAAAGGTACAGTCTTTTCATGTAACTTCGTGTTTACGTGAAATGTGTTGATTGAGATTGCATCATTAAATGAAGTTTTACATCATTTAATTCTATTACAACTAAAGGTTTAAATATTTGCTTATCTTTTCCTTTATTCACAGTAATTTGAGTTCAGCTCTTATCCTTATATTGATTCAAAATTTTTGTTTGGAGTTATGCTTAAGGCCAATGCTTGCTTCTAAGGATGCTTTTACTTAAAAGAAAATATAATATGGAAAAAACAAGTGGAGAGGACAGTCATAGTAATGTTCTAGATCTGAAGGTGACTGGAATATTTATTTTATTATTATACCATATAAAGGGTAAAAAAACATGAACTGCTTATATTATAAAACATATATAGAAAGAAGGATCACAGGGCTGG